CGTATCTGAGCAGAGCACAGCGAGGCAGAGGAGAAATGGGCAAAGATACTGGAAAGCAAATTTTTAATTTACTATGTCATTAGTTGGCCATCAAGAAGGAACAGGAAAACAATTAGGAAATGGAGTGGTAAACAGACATTACTGAACAACGCTCACGATACTTCCACGTTTCAGCCAGCAGGCTCACACGTGGAAAATTGTACTGTATTTTACTCAGTTTTCCAAAATGCACATTGAAACAAATAGATACATACCTGAGAAGTTAGCTACGTGGGTACACTCATCCATTACTCCTTTCATGAACCTTATGGATTCTCTTTGCAAAGTGTCACTCTTTCTTCTCGTGTTTATCCCGCGTCCTTGTGGGCTGGTTAAGTTTTTATTGCTACTGCTGCTGGTTGAAAATGTTTGATTTATGCACTGCATTTTGGGAGCATCTTGTATTAAGAGTCTTTCTGAAGAGGCACTTAGAGTACTTTTATTGGTGGTAAAGCTGTGAACAGCTTCTTTAGATACAGCAGCGCTCATGGACTCAAAGTTGAATATCCTGGAGGTAACATCCATATCCTCCAGACTGTGCACACTGTCAGGGAAGTTTTTAACAAAATCTTGTCCCATCTTGAAAGAATCTGTCTAAACAAAGACAACGGGTCATTTTTTAAGGGTTACTCCCTTGAACTAGTTGGTTAACCTTATTTTTAAGATGAACTCGTTATTAAAAAAACTAGGAAGATACAAAAAGCACTGATTATAGTAGTTGTTATTTCCAGTCTGCAGGTCACTCAGTTATATCCTGACCACCATAGCCTCTTGATTATTTCATTCTACATTTCTATCAGCTTAAAAAAATGCAGGAAATACCTATATATATATGGTAGCTTATGATACAAACACATTTGCTTTTCTTTTGGTATTAAACTCTGAATTTGTAATTCCCATAATTTAAGCTTACATGCCATAATAATAAAAAAAATAAACATATGTGACCAGGTCTAATGTTAGGTTTAGGCCTGAAAAATCAACTGTCCCTAAATACTAGGGAGACAGAAGCTGAACATCTTGAAATGTTTCTTCTTTTCATTTTGTCTTCTCCATCAGTGTTCTGGAGTGTATTTGACTTAATAATGGCAAGTTCCCAAGTAACTATCTCCACCCCAGCTCCTCTTCTCCTGTTGTAAGATATTTGAAAAAGAACTGTCACAAAGCAAAGAGTCTTAGGAAAAAAAAAGTTATTTATTAGAACTTCAACTTTTTTTGTCACAGATTAGATTAAATGTGGTCACAGGAAAAACTTGTAGCAAGGGCTACACTTAACACTCACCAAACCACCAAACTATTAGCTTTATTTTTCAGGGTTTCCTTCAAAGATTAAATTTATTGAAAGCATAAAGAAACAACATGCAGGTGTGTTTTGGCTAACAATTGTCTGCCTTTAGTGCAAGTAAAGAGAAGTTCCACTATTTGTTAGATTTGCACGTGTAAACATTAGCAAATAAGGAAAATAAACTAGACTTACTCCACAGTATTCAAGCATTTGAATTATTTCTTCTTCATAAACGGTTTCTGTAAAATACTGTTTCTCGAGCTCTCTCCAGTTCACTGCCTTGCTCAACACCCCCTGAGATTATAAACAAGAGCATCAAGTACACAAGTAAAACCCAGAGATCAATCTAAAACGATGATACACGGAAAAAAATTGATCTGTTCCCCTTGTGACTTATTTTCCCAGCGGAATTCCGCCCAAGTTCCCAGACACCACTTCAAATCACTGCGATCAAAGCATAAGCAGGCATTACAACACAGGGCACGGAAACTCAGCTCCCCTGTGGCCAACCCAAAGCTTTTAACTTCCCTTTCTGATTAGCACGTAACAACATTAACGAAAATCTCTGTTATTTACCGTAGTAAAGACTGCAGAGGCTGTTGACCAGGAGAGACACGGAATCAATGGCAATGGTTTAGGCCAGTTTGTCACTGCCAGCGAGGCCATCTGGAATCAAAGGCATATTTTAATGACATATTTTAATCTTGAATTCACAATATGCTAGAGAGAACTCTCTCATCCTCAATTTTTTTGTTAGTATCTATCAAACACATGGTGCCAAAGCATTCAAGGGCTGTGGCAGCTGGATATACTTTCACCTATTTAGAAGTTACAATCTATTCTTCAGTGATTTTTCTAATAAGCATTGCCCTGGATAACATTCACTTCAAGCTAAATGGGGTTTTTATTGTAAGAATTCCCAATGGAATATTTACTAAATGGTCCATTAATTATAATTATAACCCCATGAATTATAATTATAATTGCAATTACATTATCATAATAACAATAAAAATTAATACAAGCTATTAGTTGTTTAAAGCTATAAAAACATCTAGAAAGCTTTTTATCAAGCTCTTGCAAGTTTATTTCAAGGCAAAATCAAGGCAATCTATGAGAAGGGCTATTTAAAATTCTATACTTTTGAAATTTGCATACTGGAAACAAAATATGAAGGAGAAGTAATTCAGCATGTTAAGTGAACTCTTTTTCCGTCCTTTAAATTTAAATTATTACTTTTACATTAGTTCTCAGAACACATTTTTGTAAATATTCTGTTTATCCCAGAAAAAAAACAGAGCAAATAAAATTCAATGTACAGAAGTTCCCTGTATGGTATGTCCTTGACAAGTTTTATTTTATTATTGCTCTACACAGAACCCCTTAATACAAAACACCCCATCTCTGTGTCAGATGTTCTAATAAATGGATTTATAGAACTGAACTATAATTCTACTATGATTATTTCTTATTAATAAAAAGTTACAAGAACACCACATATCTCTGTTCTAATAGCCAGAAAGTCTGACTTCTTTTCTCTCCCAGCTCTCCCCATTAGAGGAACTGAATCAATGCCACCCACCTTCCCTTGTAAAACACGTTCTATAGAGGATCAACATCAAATATCAGTCATTTCACTGGTTAAAATCGTACCAGAAGTCCCGTAAGTAAGTCAGGACTAGCCAAAAATTTATCTTCCTGGACTAAGAAAAAAAATTTCAAAGGAGTTTCCAAACTCAGTTTTCTCAGCTCTCACCTCCTTCTCTGCCCAAAAGCACAGGATACAGAATTTGGTTGTAACCACAGCATTTGAACTGTTGTGCATGGTTAGTGCTGCATTTACCACTCTGAGAAGGCCAATACAGCTTGCAAATAAGGAAGGAATAACACAAAAGTTGTCGACCCAAGAGGGTGACATTTGCGTAAATCAAAGGTGCATTGTACATTTACGACATTTAAGGGTTATAAAGTCGTGCTTTAGGGGAAAATATTTCCCTTTCAGTAAACACTACCATTCACCAACGTTATTTACTTAGCTCCTAACAACAACCAAACGAAGGTGTGTTGTTTTAATGAGCTTTGCACCTCTGTCTCACAGGCCCATCGATCAGGGTAGATTT